ACAAAATCGACACTCGTCACTAGGGACAATACTGTTCCATTCCTGATCCCAGAGTGACTGTTGTCTGCACCACTCAAAGCGATTACGTCGGTGTTCTCGAGTTAAAGGGAGGACCCAGTGTGGCCGGTATGAAAACAAGCCAAAACTTCTCATTCGTCGGTAAACACTTCGCAAGCCAATAGGTCTTCCGTGTTCTGCAAACCATTCATTTGCAATGGACCTGGTAGTGGAGTAACGGTCCCTTAAGGCCAATAATCTTAGGCGGCGATCTTCACGGTCTGTTGTTCTACGGCGGCGTCCAGTGCCCCTTGCTCTTTGCGTACGGCCTTCTCGAAGCCATGCCTGACAACACCTAACCACAGTGTCTACACTTCTTTGCGCTCTAACTGCAATTGAACGAAAAGAAAGTCCAGCTTCCCGAAGTCCCACTATACGGTCCCTATCAAACTCACTAAGTTGACGAAATCGTACAGGTCTCCGTACTCTAGACATCGTAACCGATCGTAAAGGATGTCAAGAACCAAAATCCGCCAACGTTGATTCTTTTCTGCGGCTGAAATATTCATTTTTAGAGCGTTAGTGAATTAAAAAAAGCAGTATAAAAACCGGAATGTCCATCTGATAAGGCTGAAAATTTTTTCACTTGTTATTTACAGTAAGATAAATACATTCACCAACTTTTATTAAAATAAAACCATTTAAACTGGGTGTTCGGAATTATATGTCACTTAGTATATGTTTTGCCTGGACTTTTAGAAGAAGTTCCAGACATGGTAAGATTCCCTATGTGGTACATGCACGACGGGGCTCCACCACACTTTAGTGTAGTGATGCGGCAATTTTTTGATGAAAATTATCACAATCGCTGGATTGGGAGTACAGGCCGACACTTAAGGGCCCCTGGCTCGCCCGATAAGAATTCCTTGGATTGTTTTCTCTGAGGACACCTCAAAGCGCTGGTATAAAAAACCCCTATTGAAAGTGAAGAGTATTTACGGAATAGAATCATTAATTCATTTGAAAAGTACATAACTTGGATTCTTTTATATATTTATGATAACCATTATAACTCCCGTTTGCGGTTTGACGTCGACTTTTGGGATACCCTGTATAAATGTGAATGTGTCGAGTCTACCGGCACCACGTCTGGAAGGTTATAGACATAGGTTTGTCCGCGACAAAATACAGTGTGTTCAAAAAGCATGGATAGATCAAGATGTCTCGAAAAAAATACATTTGCTACAGGGACATGTTGCATAACAAACTTGTAAGGTTCGAAAAGATTCATCTAAAGCTGATCTTCATCGTAATGATCTTCAACGTCATTCAAAGGTCAACACAGTTTTCTTAAGCGAAATCCCTATTTTTGACACAGGAACGTAAATAACGGGAAATTTTACGTTATAGTGTATTTTTCCCAATAACCTTAACCATGATCTTGATAGATATTTGAGGGTGTGAAGAAAGTAGAGAAAGGATAATCTCCTAAATAACGGGTGATTCATTTAGAGGTACTTTTTTGGTGTGGCTGTAATTGCTTATGGCGCATACGTAATGACAACTAATTTGACATTTTCTGTTTCAGTATTGTTCGACATTTCATCATGGAAAGACTTAGTCCGGCACAGCGTCTACAAATAGAGCAACTTATGGTGTACATAATCGGCCCACCGAACGCACAATTCGCCGTACGATCGAAAAGTTTGAAACCCAATTTTCATTATTGGATAATACCCGACCAAATAGATCACATCCAGCACACCCCGAAGGAAATATAGCTGCGATAGCTGAGCGTATACGTGAGGACCGTGAAGAATCGATTTGGCGCCGTTCTCATTAGCTTGGCTTGTCGTATTCAACAACTTTGCGTATTTTACGTAAGAATCTTAATTTGAAACCATACAAAATTCAACTTGTTCAAGAATTGAAGCCGGCCGACCTTCCAAAGCGTCATCGTTTCAGTCTTTGGGCTCGTGCACGGCTTGAAGAAGATCCGACGTTTTCGAGCAAAATTTTGTATAGCGATGAGGCCCATTTTGGGCTTAACGGCTACGTTAATAAACAAAACTGTCATATTTGGGGTGAAGAACAACCCGAAGTGGTTCAAGAGCTGCCATTACATCGAGCGAAAACAACGGTTTGGTGTGGTTTATGGGTCGGTGGAATCAACGGTCCCTTTTTTTCAAAAATGAGGCCGGTCAGAACGTAACTGTGAATGGTGCTCGTTACCGCGCCATGATAACGGATTATTTGCTGCCTGAAATTGAAGCCCTTAATCTCGATGACATTTGGTTCCAACAAGACGGCGCCACTTGCCCGTGCAACCATGGCTTTATTGCGAGAACATTTCGATGAACACTTAATTTCACGATTTGGACCAGTGAATTGGCCACCTAGATCATGTGATATCACACCTCTAGACTTTTTCCTTTGGGGCTACGTTAAGTCCAAAGTCTACATTGATAAGCGCAATACGATTGAGGAATTAGAAGCCAACATTACGCAGGTCATTCGCCAAATTCCAGTCGAAATGCTCCAACGTGTCATCGAAAATTGGAACTTTAGAATGGACCATCTCAACCGCAGTCAGGTCCAACATATGAAAGAAATAATATTTGAAAAATAAATGTCAAAAATAGTTCTTTTCTTTAATAAAAAAGATTTGAAAAGAAAAAGAATTTTGTTATTTTATTTTGTTGCTGAAAAAAGTACCTATAAATGAATCACCCGTTAGTTTTACTGATTAGATTGTATTTATAAGTTATAATAAGTTTTATTTTCGTGAACATCATAAGTTACAGGTGGTTTCTGTCGCTGCATCATTTCTAATTTCGTTTTATAATACTCTTGTTGTAAAATACTTGTTTGGCACTGCTGTAATAGCACTAGACGTTGCAGTTCTTTTGTAGTTAACCCTTTGGCTTCCTCAGTTTCGTATTTCGCTGTTGCTAATTTTCTGTTTCGTGGCAATGTCTTCTGAATTGCTGGAGCTGTAATACTAACTGTTTGCTCACTGCGCTTGATATATTATTATTATTATTATTATTATTATTATGATAATTGAGATGAGCAGAGTACACAGTACTATAAACTCATTCAGTAAATATAGTGTACGGACACGTAACACAAATACATCAAATAGAAAAAAGTAAAAAAAGACAGTTCATAGCTATAAAGTTTGTACACTCCTCCAGCTATCATACTGCACTTTGAAGCTATTAACTGAAGTTTAGTAGCACCAACCACACTTTCAGGTGAACTATTCCAGGTGTTGAATATGCGGTTGGGAAGAAACCACTGTCGGACTGTTGTTTTAAATGGCTCCTTATGCAGTTTGAAGCTGTGTCCGCGTAGATTGCTGCGCGACAGACGGTATAGATGCATGAGGTTGATGCCCATCAAACCATGAAGTATCCTGAACGTAACTATAAGATCGCCACGAAATCTACGCTCAGAGAATGAGGTCAGGTTGAATAATTCAAGGAGATCTTCATAGCTTGGTCTTCGTGCTCCAAAAGGGATACGAGTAGCTCGACGCTGTACTGATTCGACGAGATTTCTATCGCGCAGAAGCACATACCGGGCCAGCGAATTCAAGAATTGGCCTCACGAATGCCTTGTAAATGTAGGCACAAGTGTTGACATCGGATCCTTTGAAAAACCTCTCCAGCATGTATAGAAGTTTTTTGGCTTTTGATGTAACTTGGTGAATATGCTCTGACCAGGAAAGACGATCGTTGACTACAACGCCCAGATCAGTGTGGCTGGAAACTGCTTCGATGTAAATCGCGGATTTGTCTTCCCGAGGTGAAGGACACAACACTTAGTTAGATTTAAGGTTAAAAGCCAACTGATTGACCATTGACAAACAATATCAAGATCTCGTTGAAGCATAGCAGAATTTACGTACAGTATTGTAAATCTTGGTGTCGTCAGCATAAGCTGAACATGTGGAGGAAATCAATGCGGGCAGGTCACTTGTATACAGAAGGAACAGCACTGGCCCCAAGACAGCCTTGAGAACTCACTTGCTACATGATGAAGGTGAGACTGTCTATCACTGACGCGCACAGAGAAAGTCCTCCCGGTGAGAAAAGCTTTAATCGACAGTAACAACTCGCCTCTTATTCCCATACATTCCAACTTAAACAGAAGCCTTCTATGTGGTACGCGCGATCGAAAGCCCTAGATAAATCTAAGTAGATTATATCAACAGGAGTCTTTGTGTCCAGATACTGAGTCCAATCGTTGAGAGAGTGGAGAAGGTTGGTCATTATTGATCGACCAGGGAGAAATCCATGCTGATTCTTAGGGATAAGGTCATTTTCGAAAGCAAATGACAGGAGCTTATCTAATATGATTCTTTCAGCTATTTTGGCGGCGATAGGAACGAGACTTATTGGTCGATAATTTTTAGCGGAGGATTTGTCGCCCTTTTTGAATACAGGGGTAATAGAAGCACTAAGCCAGCATAAGGGTAGGGTATGAGATCTAAAAGACGATGTGAATATCAAGCTTAATGGTAGGGACAGTGCTGAAGCGCAGTTTTTAAGTACAGCAGCCGTCATCCCATCTTTACCATGGGAGGAAGAGGTCTTCAGATTTTGCAGGTGCATTAATACATCTTCAGGCAGGAACTAAACTTCGCAAAGGCAGTTGGGACACCTATGGCAGATAGTGGTCGGTAGAAGGTCTCCATTAGGCTCATCGACGAAGTCATCACTAAAGGACTATGCCAGTCAGTTGGCAGATTCGGTGGCATCCATGTGGAGATGACCGTCAGCGTCGCGGATCTGAGGTGATGAAACTTTGGAATTCAGGTTTGTTCTTAGATACCGAAACAGCTTCTTCTTATTTTTGTAGGTAACGAGTTTTCGTTCATAAGCATGTTTGGCATTATGTAACGTTCTAGATAGGAGGTTAGAATTAATTTGATAAAAAACTGTATCCAGTAAAAATACGGAACGGTCTGTGTAAGCTCTGGAGTACATCTGCCAGTGATGCTGAGTGAACGAACTCCCACGTCAACTACAAGCTGGAACAAGTCAGGACATGTCGCTCAGATACTACCAGCCAACCTTTTACTTCTCCTTGGAGGATATCCTCGCGAGTATAAGGTAAATGAATATGAAAACAAGAATTTGCTTATACTTCTACCTTTTTCTCCGAAGCAAGACCTTATTCTTTCACCTTATGCTTCCGAGGACATGCTTCTTTTTATGAATACGGCTCATTATCGAAGAGTGTGGCTTTAATACCAATTTAAAAAAAACAACGGATGATCCACCCTTTACATGCAACTGAGGGACTGACCTGTTACTCTGCGAGACCCTGTATATACGGGAGCATCAGAGCAGCTAGTTATGTTTATTTTCAGACAAGTATGTCGTAAATAACCACGGTGATAAGATTTGTGTATAGTTACTGAATATTTGTCGAAGTGGCGGTAGACTGTTATAGGTCATTCAGCGGGCATTCTACAATACAACATCGTTATGTTAAGTTAAATACCTCGTAAGTATAGTATAAACATTCGATATGATGCTAAAACAACGTCAAAATAGAGATTAGTTATCATTTATATTATTCTGTGTTAAAGTGTACGTGGTTTGGCTTATATTGGAGGTTTGTGCAAATTTAAGCACTCTACAAGGGAATTCCTCTAACCTCAGCTCTACTAACACTCCAATTCCATAAACATAGCAGCACTAAATGGTCATATACGTTTTTCGAAAAAAAAATGTAGGGGTTAAAAATTGGGGGTTAGGGGCAGTCGGGGGTGGAGGAGGGTAAATCTCAATTTTTGGTATATTTATAGGCCTCCAATGGGGTATATCCCAAAAAAAATGAAATTCCCAACTTCATGGCCACATACTGATTATTTTCAACATGCTAAGAATAAGATGCAAATGCTGAGAGCAATTCACGATACGGTAGAAAGAGCAGTCTTCCATGGATTAATGACTGCTGATGAGGATAGAAAACAATTTTTATTACATTGCGTACAAGAACACAAGCAAATATATCCTGAGGACATTGAAAACAAAATTTCGTAAATGATGCTCTTTTAATGATAAATCTCTAAGAAATAAAGCAGCGTTTTAGGCATTTTTCACTCGTCATAGATGTCCGGGTACATTTACCCTTAAAACTAAATATATCCGACGCATGTGGATACGTGCGACGTGGTCCTCCGACGGACAAGCGTCGCACGTGCAGTGTGCATGGTAAAGGTTATTATCGTCATTCACGCGGAACTGCTCACCGCAACTATTATATGCGCCTTCATTTCGTATCCAACTTTTTTCTTAGAAGGGTTAACTTGTGCCTAACATAGCCCTTTACGAACTGATGATATCGCTGCCTCCCAAGTACAGAATCAACCTACTTGACGCTATTTGTTTTTATATGTCCAAATATTTTTGAACTAACCCTCGTAATTAAAGTATACAGGTCAAGGCTTTTGTTGTCAAGAAAAATCTGTGAATGTATAGATATTCAATTTCCGATTTCTCTTTTGTATCGTTACGATTGACAGATCACATCAGTGGAGCGCAAAAGTGTGAACAACTGTAAATTCCAACTCCGCCGGTTTTTGTGGGGAATTTCGTTGGCAAGTATATTGACGGAATTTTTTGAGATTTCTTATAGTCATGTTCTTCGTAGTGCAACCACAAATTCAACCGCAACAATTAATACAGGATGTTTGCCGAATGCCATAGAAAATCCGACAAGATTGAAGCGGTCGTTAATTTTTAATTTCACAAAGTAGTGGATATTGAAGCTTACGGTACTTAAACAAAAAACGTGTTGATTCAATTTTGTATCGTATCCATTTTTGCATTTCGCAGCCTTTTGAACTCGTGGACACTATCGATAGTTCTGTGTACAATGCCTTATGTGGAATAGGAAATACTGCCGCAACTTTTTTTATGGCAACACTCGTACTCATATTATAATAATAATCATCTTTATTCGTTGGTACCAAGGTACAGAGATATGGAAGTGATACTTGAAAAAGGCGAAGTTCAGGTTTCATTCTTATAGAGGAATGGCTGGTCTTCCACATAACCTAACAAAGCCTACTTAACTAACTTAAAAGCTTAAAAGTAAAGATATACGAGTAGTATATGTTACCGTAGTAATATTCAAACAATAGCATTTTTGAACGCATGAATAACTAATATACAGGGTGTCCGCAAAGTTGGGGTTTTCCTTTATACGACGTGTAGATCTTGAAAACATAAGCAATTTTTCTTAGTACCATATACACCAATGTCTTAAGGGAACCGAGATAAAGGGCTCTGCAACATCAAAAATATCTGAATACCGTCCTGTAGCCGCGATATCCCCTAGTGGTACTAGGACACTAGCTCAACCCGACGACAGAACTGGGTCGGGGTCAGTGTGTCAGGTCAGTATGCAACCTTCAACCGACGGTTACGGTCACTGTGTAGAGGTAATCGCGTAGACGAGAATCCCTCAACAAGCACTAGAGACGTGGCTAGAGAAGTGTAAGTATCAAAAACTAAAGTGTGGCAAACGCTGCGTGAAGAGGGGCTGTATCCGTTTCACGTCCAACGTGTACAAGCCCTTCAACCTGACGATTTTCCACCAAGAGTGCGGTTTTGTGAGTGGTTGTTGCATCAACATGACAATAATCCGGACTTTTTGAAGTGCATATTGGTGACAGACGAATCTACGTTCACGCGTTATGGGGTGAATAACTTTCGCAACACTCATGTTTGGTCAGTAGGAAATCCGCACGCTGTCCGTAGGGCACATTTACAAGAAACATTTTCGGTGAATGTTTGGGCTGGCATGGTGAACGGTATGCTCATTGGACCATTTATTCTCCCAAATCGATTGGACGGGATGCAATACCTAGACTTTTTACGCAACATTTTTCCTTCCTTTTTTGCCTGCGTCTGCTCGGTAGCGCATCAGCTGATTTCATTTTTTGTTGGAGCGGTATGATTTCGGGCAGAGACGTACTTAGCCCTTCTCGTCAACTGGAGAGTGAGTACTTTTTCCTTTATTTTTTTTTACTTGGTCGCCCTCGTTTCACTACACATTACCATTGTTATTTCAAGGGTAGTTGTTTCTCAAAAGGAAAACCCCAACTTTGCGGACACCCTGTATATAGAAGAAATGAAAAAATTCACAGAATACAAACAAAGACAAAGATATTAGGGAAAAGCATACAATGTAGGTATAATCATATATGTAATATAGGTATGTGCATAGAAACAAAAAAGATTTAGATATTCGATGTTATTAATTATTGTAGCGAGATCTCAGAAGATGGAAGTAGCATTTTGAAAAATTATATAGCGATTTGGATTTCAAGTATTGACAGCGTTATATATTTTGGAAATGTTATAAGAAAAAGATATTTCAAATAGAGCATATTAGTGATGTACAACTTGGATATTTTTAAGTATCCGATAGTATCCGATGATCCGATCTTTTGGATAGTGTGGATACTGTGGATTACAAAATGTGGATTTTAACTATAGGATGAAAAATAGTTTTGCTAATATTTTTTTTTGTTAAAAATTGTTTTTCTAGCTATTTTTTTGTTGTTTATTATGAAGATTAAGGGGTATAAAAGTATATCTAAGTTAAACAATGATTGAAGAAATGTAAGTATTTTCTTGATAAAATGGAGAATGAATAACTGCAAAGAGAATAAGTAAAATAGAGAATTAAAAACCCAAGCAAATAATAATTTCTCTTATCATCTAACAATCATTAAGTTGTAAAGTACCAAGTTACCTTGTATACAAAAGTATCGGATACTTTCTAGCGGATACCAATATTTTGCACATCACCAGTTAAAATGCTTTAAATGCGCTTCAAATGACCTTTATTCCACGTATTTTGGGTTGCCAGTACCGTTTTACATGTATGTGATCCCGTTTATGATGTAGATCTAATTAGTTAGCGAAAAACTGCAAAATTAGGCGTTTTTGCGACTTTAAGGTGCTAAAAATCCGTTTTGCTATCGATGAGGTAATTTGGGGCGCTGAATATGAATATCACAGTGAAAAAATTCTAAAGTGTTATCGGACTGGATTTAGGGTGAAAAGTTGACAAGAAACTATTTTTCCGGCCTAGCCGTAAATTGTAGCAATGTATCGACATCGAATTTGGAATCTACGCACCCGATTTACCCAGTAAACAAGTTTCCATCTCGATCATAGACGTGCAAGGATTTTTAGAAATTTCTTATTAGTCGTTTTTTGACAAAGTTGAATTCTTGCCGGTATCTTGAAAACGAGGCATTTTCGGACGCAATGGGCCATGGATTCGGTTAATACATGTTATTTTAGAAATTTCTTATTAGTCGTTTTTTGACAAAGTAGAATTCTTGCCATTATCTTGAAAACGAGGCATTTTCGGACGGAATAGGCCATGGATTCGGTTAAGACATGTTGCGTTCACGTTCCCGACTGACATTTTGTGCCTTTTGGTAACAATACCCTCATTATTATTATTATTATTATTATTATGATAATTGAGATGAGCAGAGTACACAGTACTATAAGCTCATGCAGTGAATATAGTGTACGGACACGTAACACAAATACATCAAATAGAAAAAATAAAAAAATACAGTTCATAGCTATAAAGTTTGTACACTCCTCCAGCTATCATACTGCACTTTGAAGCTATTAACTGAAGTAGCACCAACCACACTTTCAGGTAAACTATTCCAGGTGTTGAATATGCAGTTGGGAAGAAACCACTGTCGGACTGTTGTTTTAAATGGCTCCTTATGCACTTTGAAGCTGTGTCCGCGTAGATTGCTGCGCGACAGACGGTATAGATGCATGAGGTTGGTGCCCATCAAACCATGAAGTATCCTGAACGTAACTATAAGATCGCCACGAAGTCTTCGCTCAGAGAATGAGGTCAGATTGAATAATTCAAGGCGATCTTCATAGCTTGGTCTTCGTGCTCCAAAAGGGATACGAGTAGCCCGACGCTGTACTGATTCGACGAGATTTCTATCGCGCAGAAGCACAGTGTCCCATACCGGGCCAGCGAATTCAAGAATTGGCCTCACGAATGCCTTGTAAATGTAGGCGCAAGTGTTGACATCGGATCCTTT